TGTCTTCTTAGAGACTCACTACACTCCTATATATACAGTTTTCGAGTTACTATGCTAATTACTATACTGATCCTAAGGTTAGTATTTTCGCTGATTGCATTTTCTCGCCAAGAATTAAGTAATAATCATTTGATGCTTTTTGATTATTTCTTCGATCTAGATAATCGTCGTCTCTCAGATAATCAATACAGATTCAAAAAAGAGAAAGAAAGAAAAGAATTATTGAAAAACGATGAGAAGAAATATAGATATAACATTCATTTATAATGAGATATTTCCTGATTTGGTCTACAATATAATTAACACGAAAAACTAATTATGGAAAGGAGGTGTCAGAGAAATTATGAAAAGATTGTCATGTAGATATTAGAAGAATAAATCGTGAAAAAGAATTTAATATCACAATGATAACAGTATTTATGTAATAGTGAAGAATGTGAATATTTAAGATAATTATTTTTTGGATGGAGTAAAGGTGCTATTTATAATTCTTTAGAACCGTATAGACACAATGGTATCGATGCTAATATTACCTTTAGAAACGAAACTAGTTTCGAAGAGTTTCGCAATTGATGTGAAACTAGTTTCGAAAGGCAACTCTGATCGATGCATTAATAATAGCCTATTGTTATGAACTGAGCAAGTTTCAAGTACTCCAATTTCATTTTATTCGAAGACACGTTAGCATTAGTGGTATCTTTGTTACATCACAAATTTGTCTCAAGAACTACCAGGCATTCTCTAAAAACCCTCTCAGATGCCGAGTAATAAATCACTGGACCCTAACATATTATATTCGATTTCTATAAACACTTCTGTGCGTGAAAAATCAATCCCTCTTACATATATTAAAACCACAAAATTCTCCCACCAATTACGAATGTACTTTCTCTTTAGCTAAAAATAGGAGTAACAAGTCAGTCGTGTGTGAGAAAACTTGCAAAAAAATATAACGTAGTAGCTTACAGTAGGAGAGGAAATTGCTGAAGAACTTACCGTGGTCAATCTTTACTCGTCCGAGTCCTGGCAAAAGACTGTTAGTATTGTTTACAGGAATGCAGAAATGCTCCAAAAACAACTACTATACCATAACGTAACTTGGTCTTATGCTTTACAAAAGTCTCTTAGTAACCCACGTAAAGCATAAAAATCTTTGTTTTGAAGTAGGAATAAAAGTTCTCCATTAGTTTCATGTAAGAAATTGTTGTCGGAGGGTATATTACAGGGATTAATATACCTAAAGTTCGAATGAAGATCTTCTTCGAACTGAAAGAAAACGGAAGCTAGAGTTTTTACGATTTGATAAAGAAATATTACGAGAATATTTTCAATTTAAGTAGCAACAGACAAAAGTTTCACAAACATGGAGTTGCCATAGGAGAAACCTTTCACGAAAGCAAAATTTTCATATAAAAGTCAAGTGATCGATATCAAAATTTTTATATGAATTACATTCTGAACCCCTGCAGGGGGAACATGTCCTGTGACTGATAAGGTTCAGCCATGATTACAAGTATAGGTAGAGCAATTTTGCCTTTCTTTTTACGAATAATCTTTTTGTTGAGTTCTTCAGCAAGTGTTCTTGATGATTCAGCATTATTCATTTTATGATCATTATTAATTTCAAGAGATTCTTCTTGTTCTTCTTTCTCAATATTATTTTGCTCTTTATTTTCTCCAGTGAATATTTTTCTGGATCAACCTACAGGTCTGATTTCATATGAAGTAGCTTTAGAATTTTTAGTTTTTCTATCAGCAGCCAAGTAGAGAGTTTATATTGTCTGGTTAAGTATTTAATGTCTGAATACTATTGGTGAGAACTTGTATTTGAGCTAGTAATGCTGTGTGATTGTTATTCATCTTTTGATTGTTTTCAGAATTTGATCGATTTGAAAGCAAGTTATTTTGTTGCTGATTATTTTCATTTGGTCTTGGATAATTATTTCCAAAGTTGTTCTGTTTATTTCTAGATGGTTGAGACTTTGTACAATTAGAGCGAATGTGTTCTTGCTCATCACAATTATAATATATAGAAGCATTACTGAACTTTTGATTATTTGGTCTGAAGTTGGAATTATTCCCATTTTAATTTGGTCTTCTAGTGAATTCCACATTTTCAATTCGTCAATTGAGTCCTTGAAGTGCTATCAAAATAGCATTTAATATTGAGTCATTTTGAATTTGTGATTGAGGATATCCACGAGTTGGAGAATCTGTGTCAGCTTTTTCTACATTCTTGGCAACTTTTACCATATGTTCAAAGATTTCATCAGTTGTTATTTGTATCCATTTTTGAAGTTCAGATTTAAGTCCTCATTTATATATTCCGATTTTATATTCTTCTGGATATGCATTCTCAGGATCTACTTTATAAAGCAGATTGATGAACTTGTCTATGTATTCTTCTACACTACCTGTTTGTTGTAAAGTTTCAATTTCATTCTGCCATTAATTTACTCTTTTTCTGGTTCAGAAGTGAGCAGCAAATTGATGACTGAAACTATATGGTAGGTCTGCATTGTTATTCCAAGCTGTTAATTGAGTGACATTATCTCTTTCTCTTTCATCATATTGTTGTGATATGAATTTTAGCATATCACATGACTTTTCATAGTTAATTTTCATTGGATAATTGATTTATAAAT